CACAGTATAATTAAACAATAGATTAGCACTTGAGCTCTGTACTGGCCTTGGTAGTGTTTAAAAATAGAAAAAAAAAATCCCTCACTGAATAAAGTACAAAACACTGCTTGTATAGTTCATTATTGTGAAATGTTGGTGCTTGAAGGGCCTCTTCTTCATGAATATGAGTGTGGCTAACTGGAGAAAAAATACTGAAAGCTCTTATATAGGCACAGGTTAAGTCTGTGTACTGTGAGGAAACCTTGCTACTAATGTAAATGCAGGGCTTTAAACACTAACTGATTTTTAATGTTAATAAAGGATGAGATTATTTCAGTTTTGGAAAATTTCACCCTGCATGACTTGAATTCTTTCATATTTTAGAATAGTTTTATGTTTTTTAAAAAAATTTTAAAGCTAGTAGCATGGTAACAATTATATCAGCTTTGTTGCTGGGGATTTTTGTCTCTCAAATGCATTTCAAAAATTAAATATTCCTTATTGTTGTGAGCAAAACCTTCAGGGCTCAGTATTTAAAGGATTATTTCAAGTGGCAAAAGAATATCAACATTGTAAAACCCTATTCCTTATGAATATTGTTGTATATTTAACTCTGGTGTAAGATAGATAATGCACAAGCCTAGATGGATAAGCTGGAGTTAAATCTGTCAGGGAAATGTTTTAGACATTTAAAGTGATGTCTTGGCCAAGCCTTAGACTCTCCCGTGATATAAATCCATTAGGACACATTCCTCGTTTCTTAGAAAGGTGATTTGTATCCAAGTTGTTTTGGTTTTGTTTTTTTTTAAAGAAACATCAGTTTTAAGCTTGACAGTGATCAATCCGTTGCATACAATGTAGTCACATCATTTTCCTGCTTTTTAATAAAAACTGAGAGTTGGTATTGAGCCCTGCTTAGAGGCAGATCATAAAACGTGTGACTTTATGTATTATAGCTTTTCTCTGTGAAAGATGCTTTTTCCTCTGACTGGTTTTATAAATTCTTGCATTGTTTATAAGCATTTGTCTGTGTCACACTCCACCTAAATCCCATTTGCCCATTCAGTATTTTCCTTGCTTGAGTGCTTTGCTCCCTTCTCTGAGGTCTTCTGGTATTGCTCTTTGTTATCTGTTGGCATTGTCTGGTTGCTAATTGCCTGTCATGGAGATCTGGGATCCCTGGAGCCTCTTAGGTGAGGTCAGGGATGATAATTCAATCACAGGGAGCTGCTGGGTTTCCCAGGCTGGAATCTCAGCTCCCTGATGTTGGAGCAAGGACCTGTTCTGGACACGTCACCAAGTCCAGTTCTGTGTGTGTGACCCGTGAGAGGTTTGGCATTTAACCCGAACACTTTCACCCAAACTGGAGTTGGTTATCCATGTCACTTAGCAAAACTTGGAAGTTGAGAGTCTGGTGGTGTTTATTTGTTTATGCCTTGGCTCGTATCTCTTGTAAAGTGCCGCTGCATGGCTGTTTCACACAGCTCAGTGACTGTGGTTTCATTCACCTTTCAGCCTCTCTTAAACACAGTGCCTCATTTTCCAGCGTGAGAACACTGTTTTCTTCAGAGGCAGTCGAATCGCTTGGTAGTTTTAGGTAAGATCTGAGCTTAGAGCTCTTTTCCTTCAAAAGGCAGGAGTAAATGGAGGTAGGAAAAGTGATTTTGTCCATTTTAAAATTGCCTTAAACCTGAGTTTTGGCATCTGACCCTTTGTCACCAGTACTTTGCACCTCAGTGTGTGTAACATCCTGTTTGTAATCTTCAGGAAAAGTTTTTCTGGAATGGCTATGAGTGCTGACAACTAGAGGTGGCATTTAAATCTGAATCAAGGCTTCTACTGGCCAAGACCATGTTTTAAATTTCCCTGTAAGCCTGGAGCAGCTGGTCTGTGACTTATACTTTGTGTGTGTGAGTGCTCTGTTCAGGAGGCAGCCATGGAGAAATGGGAGCGGTGTCATTTCTCAGGAAAATGTGTATGATACCTGTTCTGAAATACTGGTGCTTTTTCCCCCTTTTTTTTTTTTTAAATTTAAGTTGAATTTTTACTTTCTCTGCATATGGTTAGTTTTACTCAGGTAAGGTGTTCCTCTCAACAAATGTCAGGCATGTCTGTTCTGCCCCTTGATGAGCTGCAAGTACAGCCTACCCACACTGGGTATGTGATCTGGCTGCTGGCCCACATCTCAGGGGTTTTATTTTGTCTTCATGGGTGTAAAAGTATGTGCTGAACCACCTGTCTTTGCCTTTCTGTGAGACTTTACCTAAAGTTTTCCCAAATCTTTAAACTTAGCGCATTGTCTTGGAAAGAAGACAGTGTTTAGATTTTAAACTCTCAAATCTCTAGTCTCGACTGAACCACTCACCAGGCTGTTGCACAGATGCAAAGAAATAGGATTTCCATCTTTACACATGGAGAAATAAATGGAGAGGTGGAGGGTCTTAAAACAAACCGTGCCTGATTTTCAGACAACAAACAGTTCTATTCCTTTTGAGAAGAAATTCTCATGCTTTGCATTAAAGGCAGATGTGAAAGTGTTGGTGTGATAGATATCAGGAGACGTGAGCTCTGGGACAGAGGAACACTAAACGTGGGGATCTCTCCCAGAGACTCTGCAGACTTAGTTCATGGGCCACAGAACCAGAGTGCCTCACTGATGAATATTTTCCCTATTTACTGACCATCCTGCTAAGTGTGTGTCTTCTGAGCATGTGGAGGTTTCCCTTGCTGTGTCCTGTGCATTGATCTCGCAGACTAAACCTGGTTGTTAGCACCAGCATGACTGGGCCTCTGGAAATATGATTAAGATGATCATTACGCTTCTCCAACAAAAATCAATCTATGAGAGTAGTGTTTTTATAAAAAAACCCGATACCCACATAGGAAGCTCTTTAATCAGAAGGCTTTGTGACTAGCACACTGGGTTTATTTGCTTATTTTAGTGTATTTGACAGAAAAATCAATATTATAACTCAAATAAAAATACGCAGTATACAGTGCTTCCCGTAGGAGAGGGAGAGGTGATTCTCAAGTTGAGCTCTCTTTCTCTTCATCGTGCTAGCATGGGCCAATTTTATGCTTAATAAAGCTAAGTGTAAAATACTTAGTCAAACAGTTAAATATAAACATTAAATAGAAATATAACAGTGGTATACTGAACTCATTTGAAGTTTATTCCTCTTGAAAATGCACCATCCTTTCTGTTTGAGCCTCAAATTTTTGACAACCCACACAATTAAACAGGGATATTAGAAGAAACCATTCAGCAGCCAAAGGCCCTCCAGCATTCAAAAATGTAGAGGTTTTAGCATCTTTCTTAGGTGGTCAGGGGAACAGAGAGAGCATAAATATGTATGATTACATTCACTTACACATGCATTTATGCTCTGCATAAATCCCTTTGGATCATTGTTTGTCCCGGTGTCTGTTGGTGTAGGAGATGTTGCTGGAGTTCTGCCAAATTCACAAAGTTCTTTAAAGTTACAAGAGCTAGGAGAAACCCTAGTTGGACTTCATGCTTCCTAAGCTTTTTAGTAGACCTTAGAGTGTCTATGGGTTTTCCTGTGCTTTAAATCATAAAAAACGTCTTCCTCATTGACACCACACTGCAGCACAAAGGGTGAGTTTCCCATAGGTGTCAAATACACACATACTCAAGATGTTCGGTGTCAGCAGATCAAACTCAGTCTTTAAAGGAAATCATAAAGATTGTGTTTGCTCTGCCTGTGCTCTGTTGTATAGTAAGATGACAGATCTCTACGTAGACCAAAACTTAGATACAGCAAATAATTGGAAAGGAGTTGGTCAAACCATACAAATATATTATACATGGGTGTAATAGATTTGCTGTATTTCCATATATCTATTTAATAGAAAGTAGACACAGCAATGCAAACTTTGTATGTTTGTTCATAATATTTTACATGCACAACACAATAGATCTCTGCCTCACCAGACCTAAAGTTTATGCTGTGCAAAGGGCAATATCATATAAAGTCAGGAGCTTGCCTCTGTTTTTTTCATGAAATGCAGATATTTTACTTAGATGTGGCTAGATATGTAATTTTTTTTCTTTAAGTGTAAAATTTAGGGGATCAGATGTCAGAAAATGTAATCACTGGATTTTAAATTCCAACTTTTAATTTTTTTAAGCAAAAGAGACAGATGTAGCTGCACTGCTGTGTCCGCATGTATTGCAAAATACATTTAAATCATGCGCGTACAGGGAGACAAATGAGAGAACTCCACCATCCAAATATTAAATTACACATTTTGAAGCAAAATAGTGGTTTAAGTGTACATGTGTATAATGCTTTTTGTCACTGGATTGCTCTCCCTGATGCAGTTAGACAGGATCTGTATTTAGTCAGAAATCTTTCAATAGAACGGGCTACCAGATGGGACCAGTAACAATGCAGAGAGGCATCGAACCACCACAGACATTTGGTGCTTAGAATAATAAAAAGACTATAAAATTAGATTAGTTGGGTCTAATTTGGAATTGGTATATTCCCTATGCACTCTCACAGCTCTTGGGTAGATAAAGCCTGGAGATTTAGTACTGTCAGGACAGAGGACTCCAACTTCCAGTAAAAGAAAAAACGGCATTCTGGGAGGTCACGGAGGGCAGCACAGTGACCTCCAATGATTTACAGGCCTTTAGCTTAATGAAATTGTTTCAGTGACATGACGGTAAAAGCTCATAATGGATTGGATGCCCCTAATGTAATGAAATTACTCCCTTCTGCCTTAAAAAAAAAAAAAAAAAAAAAAAAAAAAAAGGGAAAAAAAAAAAAAAAAAGGCGCAATTAATATTTACTGAGACCTGACAGGCTTCAGTGTGCGGCATCGTGCAGCGCTGTCAGACAGCCGCGAGCAGAGCCCCAGCAGCAGCGTGGCAGCTGAGCAGGCGCTGCGAGGGGGTGGAGGGACACCTCGGTGACGGGGAAGCCCCAACCTGGCGCTCCGAGACAGCTCTGCCCGTTGCCAGCCTTCATCCTCCTCTCCCTTCCTTCCTGCAGGCAACTGGACAACAACCAGATCAGCTGCATCGAAGATGGAGCCTTCCGAGCCCTGCGCGACCTGGAGATCCTGTGAGTTGACTTGGTGTGCGGTGCTGGGGCGGTGGGGGGGGTGGCTGTCCCCGTGCTGCAGTGCTGGCTGAGTCTGGGGGCTCCCACCTCGGCCCCCTGGTGCAGGTGGCAAAGCCAAACCTCACACTTCCCCCCCGGGCTGGGGTTATTGCTAATTAAAGCACAATAGACGAGTTCTCCGCCGCCGCTCCTGAGGAGCAGAGATATTGCCGTGCTCGCTGCTGCGTGGAGCAGATGGGCTTCAGCAGCATTCCCAGCGCGTCCGATGGGTGCTCTGCGGCCACTGACCCGCCCGGGGCTGCCTAATGCCGAGCAGCGGACGGGTAACAGGTTCGTGGGGAACAATATTATGAGATATCTGACCACTGCCCTAGACAAAAAGCTGTTTGAAAGGTGTTCTGTATGTAAGAGGGAGGAGAGACGGGCGTTTGGCAGGCTTGTTCAGTGCAGTCATTGGCTTTTGGGGAGGATCCTTCTCTGAGGGCTGAAATAACACCACGTTGTGCTCTTCATGTACCACAAACTTTACACGTCGGCTGTTAAAGCTGCAGCACATACCGGGGAAAGAGAGGCAAAGGCTTTGACAGTGCAAGCTGCCTCTAACAGAGAAGCAGCATATTAGATTTAGATTACAGTCATTGTAATGTAAATCCAGTATTACCCAGAACTCGGTATCTGAGCAGATAATTTGCTTATTACCGATAGTTACTCGTTCACTTAAAGACCTTTTCTGGAATACTTTTTCACTGTATGAACTGATATAAAGGTCTTCTTGTCACCTCAAAGTTAATCCTGCAAAGCTGAGTGTTAACACTTGTGAAAGCACAGAGTTCTAAGCCAAAATGGAAGGGGCTGGGGTTGACGCACGACCCCTCCAAAACTGAAACTCTCAGCGTGTGACCTGGAGTTGGTGCTGGACCAGCACTGACACACTGAAGTACAGCAGGGAAGGCCTGCCCAGACTGCTGCAGAGCTTGCCCTTAAATTACATGGGATGAAACAGCAAATGGTAGGTGGTTAAAATAAGCACCTGCCTCACACGCTCCTGGCACCTGGAGACTCAGCAGAGTCAAGACATTGCCTTTGGCTGCTGAGAGCAGGCAGGGCAGTGGATTGTATGGGCAGGGCAGTGGATTGTACGGGCAGGGCAGTGGATTGTACAGGCAGTGGATTGTACGGGCAGGGCAGTGGATTGTACGGGCAGGGCAGTGCATTGTACAGGCAGTGGATTGTACGGGCAGGGCAGTGGATTGTACGGGCAGGGCAGTGCATTGTACAGGCAGTGGATTGTACAGGCAGGGCAGTGGGGCTGTAGAGGCAGTGGATTGTACAGGCAGCTGCTCCCACACACCACAGGGGGCTGAGTACATGTGTGACAATACAGGGAACTCTTCCCCAGGGGCTCTACCCACTTCGTGCTGACGCTCAAGGGAGTTCTGCCACCAGAGTCAACACCAGCTCAGTGGTCTGAGGGACCCGGGAGTGGTGACTGTGTCTGTCACGGCCAGCTGAGGTGCCTTTGGCCCCTCTGTCTCCCAGGCTGGGACACTGATGTTGATCAGACAGTATGTGTTACTCATACTGAGTTAGCAGTGGGTTTCTGATGAGTTTCTTATCTGGGAACTTATGTTTTCAAGAGGATTGTTCGTATTCTATATTAATAGCGCTTTTCAGGAAAAGTGATGCGTTACCACTATAAAGTTGTACTTGTCTGTCAGATTGAAAAGTCTACTGTGTGGTGAAAGAAAGGAAGAAAAGAAAAAAAAAATTAGCTCCTTTAAAAATTGCCTTTTTTTTTCTTTTTCCTTTTTTTTTTTTTTTTGATGGACTGATTTTCCATATCTGCAGAGAGTGAATCAGTCCTCCCCTGACAGCAGACTGTGCTATAACTTTCACCGAAATAGGCTGGACAATAAATGGAACCTTTTTCTGTAAAATACTGAGTTCTACAGGCTCTGCAGAAGCTGCTGGGAATGCATCCCTTCTCCCCAGGATGTAGGAAGTATTGAATTAGTTTATTTAACTCTCTGCTTTTAATTGGTTAATTCTATGCCAGTTATTTTAGGGTGAAAGAAGAGGAGGATATATAAAATACATCTCATAATCAGTTCTTTAATGCATTTTTAATTTCAGCACAGACACACTGCTACAGGAAAAATCAATCTCAATCCTAAAAGATGAGAAAATAGATTGATAGTATCTATTTCTAAACTTATTTTTCTTGCAGTCACAAAATGTGAGTTTTATGCTTCCAACTTAATACGATTTTTTTCCCATGTTGTTCTTCGAAGTCCGAGCATTTGATCTCTCTATCAAAATAAATTTGCTAAATGCCCCAGAGAATATCATATCTTCAGTTGTAAAATAGCTCTGTTAAAATTTAAAATGATCTGAACCATCAAAGAACCTTAACAAGGGAAACCACATTTCATCATTTCAGATACACCGTGAGTTTTGCGCAGATCCAGTCTAACCTATAATGCAATATGTAGAGAACATTTAACGATTCTGCCAAAAAACCCGTAATTATTTGTTTGAACAGTTTGCAAGGGTAACAAAAAATGTATTTCCTCTTTATCTTATTGAAATCTCGTGACCTTTCTGATATCAAATATTTCCATTCCTGCATCTTTTCCCTGCGCGAGCCGCCCGTCTACAGAATTCTAAATTCTGTCGAGAACTCGGGGCAGAGACGAGGTGCTTTGCATCACTCAAAAAATAAACTAAGAGTGTTTTCTGTAGGAACACTCTGGTTTCTGCATCACACTTCTCACTCGCCTTGAGTTCCTCAAAAATCACGAGTGCGAGGAGCTTTGTGGTTCAGTAGGTGGAGGAAGAGAAGGAAGTTGTGCAGTTATCCTTCCAAGTGAAGAGCACGCCGTGGTCCGTGTTATTTCTGTTTATCCATGAGTTTTTGGTTTTATTTTCTTGGTTTTGTGTTATGAACGTGTTCCTGTACCAACAAATAGCACAGAGGTAGAGATGAAAATGACACAATTTGTGCCTAATTTCAGTACTTGATGTGGTGTAGATTTGTGAATTTCAGCTGCAGCTTGGATTAGACCAAGGCAATGCAGCTCCAGGTGCAAACACATAGTTTTTTTCCACTTGTGTGTTTATCAGCCTCTTTGTTTGGAACGGCATGAAAGGTCTCCCTGATCCTATGGTCTCACCTAATGCAGATGCCAAGTGCTACTGCCAACTCTAAGTTTTGGGTTAAGAGACGCAAAAATGTTGAGTATGAAGTGCTTTGGTGCCTTCTGTGGATTGTCTTTGCCCCTGCAGCAAGGTGAGAATGATGCCTGAGAAATGACATACAGAACTGACACACTTACTTAAACATCCTTTCCTGGTAGTTCTGCACTGGGGCTGATTTTGTTCGTTTTTGTGTCAAGATTTTATTCCCATGAAGGTTTTGGTTTCTAGCTGTTGATAAAAAAGGATTTTTCATGTTGACGTACTTCCTTTCCCCCTTTTTATAAGATGATAAAGCGTATTTCGGTGGGTTTGGTCTTGCATTCCAAGACGTAGAAAGGTGTGTGCGACAACTAAAACAATAATAAAATGTAAAAGGTGCATCTATTCATAAATGATTGGCAAAAGCTATTAACTATCTTATAACCTGTTGGAATAGAAATGTGCAGAAAAGTTGAAGAAAACTGGTGTGAAACCTTCACTAACTAAAGGTTTTTTAGTAGGAGAAGGTTTTCTGCTCTG